TATATGTTGAAAAAATAAAATGGAGGTACAGATCTCGAAACCTGTCCCAAGTATTTTGCCTAGTGATTAATATTTTAATAGAAGGGGTATTGTCCCTGCATCGTCACATGTACGCATCGTTCAGCCGTTCACATATATAATACAAAACGGTATACCCACACCATTGAAATAAGCACACACTTATAATAACGCACGTCGGTATAGACAAATCCATTCATGATTGCACATTGCCGTTAACACTCACCAAGTCACTCGCTGTCCATGTGATAAGTGTGTCAGTTCTGGCAATTCACGTAAACCCCACTTATGAACTCTTGACGTTTCCGAGGTCAATAGAGCTTCGATATCGATGACCGTGTGCGGCGTCCGTTGTTAGCTACTGTAACATGAATTGACTGTTCAATCTGTTTCTACCGCGAACAATCACTCCCGGTTCACTCTAAAACATTGCAAAGTCTCAGTTATAAGATAATGAACTAGTTCAGTGGATTATATGTAATATATAATCGCCAACTCTGAAGTTTGTAATAACAGATAATCGAATAATTGTGTCGATTACTCATGTTTCTGGCTTTGTTTCAATTGATCACATAGATTACATCTGCATATTCAGCTTATGAATATTTATAACTACACGTTGAACTTGACACAGTACGAAATCCCGCCACTTTCTATGATAACCTTGATATTAAGCGTCAAACTAAATGTTTTTATATGAGAGCAAATACGTTGCTAAGGAAATTTAAATATTGTACTAATGTTAATTTTATCTTTATTTCTCACGTTCTGTACCTATATAAATTGCTCACAGTTATGGTCAGTATAATACCATCATAAATCTGTTGATACAACGCATTTCGCATCTTAATGGGGTTTGAGCGGGATTATAGCGCGAGTGGGATGTATGTAGTTCATTCCATTCCCACGTTTGGTGCATTAATATCGAATTTGTGTTACTGTCTTTTTAACAGTTAGAACTCTGTCATTAGTATTTCAATGTGGTCCGACGCTTATGTTATTTCTAAGATAAGTCTATTGTACAGAAAATTGTTATTTTTTTGAAACGGGTTTGTTTTTTATATTCTATGTTGTTTGTTGTTATGTGATTTTTTTTTATCCTGAAATAAATAATACTGTCGATAAATGAATCTTTGAGCATGGGTCAAAAGCCTACTTTGCTATGTCGAAGAAAACAAAATAAACCTGCTAGCTCCCAGAAACTATCAAAATGGTCAGGGGAGGCAGTTAAATTTATGATCTATAAGGAAAAGAACCCCTCTCACAGGAGGCTCAATATATATATACGTGAGACAAATCTGTGATTAGACATGTTGTTTAAGTGTTAAATTCAGATTTGTGTGAGACTAGGAGGACATACCCTTATAAAGTCTGCATTCGCCGATAGTTCATCAAGATGTCTATTATATTTTGTCCTCACACACAGCTGAGTCATTGAGGCATTTATTTTGTAATTTTATCAGCGGAGAATTATTTCAAGCATCAAGGTTAACCTCCCATGCATAGAAAACGTCTGTATGATGTAATATGCGACCTATCCACAAGGAGGACACTGACAATTGTCAATTATATCTAACTATTAGTATGTGTATAATGTATGGCTTAAGGTCATTGATCTCCTAATAAAGTCTTATAATACAACCTGAACATGATTACAGCTAACCACTAACCCTTCTCAACTTGAATTTGGCAATACAGTTAGAAATATCACCAGTTAGACCTTAGTCCCAGGCGACGGGTGCGCTGACTCATAGGTGCTACCACTTTTGTATCAGATATGATTATCCATTGTTTCTATAATTTACAATTATCTAGGCTTCGATAAAATTGTATCATAATTATGAAAAACAAAAAGATAACGCCCAAATATGTGATACCCGGGCGGGAGTAAGAGTTACTGACAATATTTGAGTTCGAATCAGCCATTTATTCTCCAACTTGAAAACACAAATATGTAAAGCGAGTACAATGTAAACAACACGACTATGTTACGAAGTATAAACGTGTACACAGTTTTATGCATACCCTTGAATATTCACATGACTGATACTTTGTGCTGAATTTTTATTTCGCATTATCAAATTTAACAATTAACAGTCAAATTTAATGTTATCAATGTATTTACTTGAGCGACGACACTACTTTTAAACAAGTATACATTAGGTAATTTCATTTTATATCTCGGTCATCTAAAGCGCGTACTATTTTCATTCATCGATATCTCCATGCGTGTGGTAAAGATTCAAGCTTTGATCAGCCACGTCTTTTTTTCACCTTTGGGTTTACACCATACACATAATGCCTGGACATATCAGGCGTGTAGAGACTGGCTTCTGGCGACCTTCCAAGAGATTCTGCCAAAGCACACGTGTAGAATGGCCGATTTCCACAACAAACACCAACAAACTGAATACCCATTTCCTTGCATGTGGATCCAAACCGTTTGATGTCTTCTCGAGAGCAGTAAAATATGTCAGTGTCGTGACTATAGAATACTGGTTTATCTACAATAAATGAATACAGCTATTAAACAAAATACACGATGCACCTGTTTATAATAATAAAACACGTGCGTATCAAAATGTGTTGATCAAGGCAATAACAATTATGTTATTCATTTTCTCATTTGCCAAAAAAGGCAAGAATGACAGTAGTCCTTACCGGTCATTGGGTCCTTGAGCATGAAGAAAGTTGGTTCTTCTTTTGTTGTCCTGTATGGTACTGGAATGGCAGCCAATGGACCCTGTAATTTAAATATATTCGCACATTAGCTGCGATGATCATCGTATCATATATAAAATTGCAAAACCGCAGCAAAATGATGACCACGTACCAATATATGAATTTGTGAATGAAAGTAAAACGTGAAGATAAAAAAAAACGGGGACGGGTTTGTTACTAACAGACAAGCATCTTTTATTTCTTTCATTAATGGTATGATACTGTCAGGTCCACGTCCACAGTTTAGACCAACCACCGAAGCTCCAGCACTTTTCAACTTCGCACATGCATCACTCAAGAGTACTTTATCAGCTGTAACCGCGTGTCCATTTTTGGTGGGAACCACAAACGGTGCAAGAGTCAGTACTGCAGGTAGTCCTTAAAATGAAGTTGGTTGGAGTTAGTCTGAATGACATGGAAAACACTTCCATAGTTTGAATAAATAAAAACAACAGTACAAGGAATACAATTGGCAATTATCAGAAAATTTAATCTGGGGTAGGTAGAACAAATCAGGAGCTCAATGATATCATCCTGTGTTGATGAGAAACGATGTAATATTTAGTCAAATGTTTTGCACACGTTCCACAATTATAATATGTTGTTTTCTATGTAGTCCCTTATACAAAATCATTATATGCCCATTCAACGTCATTTATGTGAATTACCTTTTCCGTATTGTTTGATCGTTTCTAAAGCCAATAAAGCTTCACCATAGTAGGTGTATGTTTCAGCCAAAATGAAATCAGCACCTGCTTCCACAGCCCATTCCACTTGTTCCTTTACATAAATAAATAAACAATGGTAGAATATATTGACCATTCGTATTACAAAATTTGTATAATATCATAAGTAATCAATATTAATAAGTGTATTACCCTAAACATTTCCTTTATCTGTTCAATCCTTTCAGCGTCATCTGCATTATATATGTTAGTATTGCAGAGATTTCCCGCCATCAGGGTTCCTGTTTCGTCGGCAACTTCACGTGCCATGCGTAGAGCTGATTTATTAATTTCTTCTACCAGATCTTCCTTGCCAATAACAGCTAGTTTTGCACGATGCCCATAGTACTGAAATGATATCATACTATATTAACAACATTTACTAAATAAACCCGTATAATTTGGTAGTTATGCTGGTTGATCCAACAATAACAATTAAATACATACACATTAAGTATATAAGTTTTTAATAGTTAGTACACTGAAAATAACGAGCGTACTGGTAATTCATTTTAATCTCGATATATCGGACGCAAACAATACGGCCACAGTACGATTCCTGTTAAATGCCAAAGCTTTCAAATGTATGTAATCGATATGATATGCAACAATCTCCATGGCAACAATCGATAGTGTCAATAAATGATGTTATCACATGACTATGATGCATATTTTTCACATTTTGACTTTGACGTTTAGAGTCAAATCTCACTAACATACTAACGATGGCGATATGCACGATGAACTTCATCCGTCTGTGTGTGGTCGAACATCGATTATGCAGAACAAAACCAAATCGTGCGACGGTAGCATTTTTTATCGCTACGATGACGGAATAGCAACAAATGCAAAAAAAAATGGAATATCTCTAGAGGTGGCTGATGGTTCAAATGTGCCTTCTCCGACCACGTAGAAATCACGTTTAATTTGCACAAATTGACATATGCTTCGTAAGCGAAGTTCCGTAAAGTCACAATTTCTCCGACGCTATGATGTTTGGAGTTGGTTTCAAGTGATAAAAAGGTTACTACCTAATTTCACTTATTCGTAATGTTGATTGATACCGGTACCGACAAGGAATCACCTTCATTTCGCGTCATAATACTACTTTCCGATGCCATTCTTGTCAACGAGCCTCAACGACAATTGATACCATGTGATGACCTCATAATAGACGTTTTAACGAATACCTTACCGTAAACGCTAAAACTACGTCACTTCCGGCACGAACAAAAGTTCTGTAGCTGTTCTTCACCAGTTCGGGATGCTCTTTCACAATCATTGGAACACCAGGTCCTAACTGAAGATATCCTTCTCTTTCAAAATAAAAACTATAACCTTCAGCACAAATGATGAATTCTCCATCATGTAAGCGTTGGAGTAATCCTGAAACAAAAAGAAACAGATAAAAGCATCTTAGAACGGAGATAATGAGTGAAGTCACATTTTTGACTGCATTTATGACATACAATAAAGTTCTAGCCGTTGCACAATAATTATTTTAATATCATGTATACAAACTGAACCGTCCGCTCAATAGCATTTTACATTTTATAAAATTATATAAAATTACTTCTTAGTTAGTAAAATCTATGCTCCGCAGTTGGAATAACGGATAAACCAAACGGGCATCATGCTAATACGGTCACACGACAACGAACTATCTCAATAAACCTTACTGACGGTTGAATGTAATATTGCAAATAAATGGCTTTGCGTTTTGAAAGATCTACCATCCACTACCAAAGGCGGCGCTATTTTCTCGCGTACTTTTTGGCGAACAGTAAACCAAACAAGCAATTTAAATGTTCTCCCTTTAAAACATGCATTTGCTATATAATACTGGTTTCAAGATGTGAAATTTGTTAATTAAATCAGTATTTGAAACAAATATTCCCTCAATTCACGCCGTCGTTGAATAATTGGCATACATGCGTACAGTGAAAAACGGTCGACTTACCTTTGGTCTTCGTCGACATACTTGTCGAATTTCGTTATGTATTAGTACTCAGGTATATCTGTACACAAATGTACTACAGCATTAGCGTCACCCAGAAAGAAGTTGTAGGTCTTTTACGATATTTATTTTTTATCTAATGAATCAACGCATTTGACACTATTGTCCGATGAAAACATTTGCTCCAAGAAAAAAAATTCTGTAGTTTTACCTTCCGATCAATTTTATAATAAATTGCAACGGAACTCTAACAGTAGTAAACTAACCTGTTGGTGATTTCGAAGTTGAAATGTTGTGCTTGTTGGTACCTTTGCAAACTGACCCAGAAACTCGGTGACTGACAGCTTAGTGAGGTTGTTCAAGTGGTAAAGGTGACAACAAGGACAGCAAAATCAGATATGGACTGGTATCATTTACATTAATAACAAATGTGCCACCATCATATAGCCTCATACATGGCCCTTGGTGTTATCTGCAGCTTATTAATTACGCATGTTGGAAATAGGACTCCCTAGAATAGGGATACGCCAGAGATGTAAGCTCGTATTGCTTATACAGTAGTTAAATTGTTGCATGTCACCTGTATTATGTAAGGGCAAAAGCCCTGAACGTCCAGGTCACCCGGATTGAACTTAGATAAGGCAAAACACATTAACGACTCTCTGTATAGATTATTTGCAACATATATATTTTGAAATGACTTACAAACGTGTATTCTTCTTGCAATACAGCGCTGAAATCGTAGCAGGATAAAGCCAAGATAATGTAAATACTTAAATAATAAATTTTGTTTACGGCTCAGAGTGCAAATGAACCTGCATCTATCTATATATACTGTCGACAGTTCTCATGCCTAATTTGTTAGT